CAGGAGAGGAAAAGCAGAGGAAGATGAGAAGCAAAGGAGAGGAAGAGGAGAGGAAGAGGAGACAGGAAAAGGGTTCAAGGTTTAGGGTTTAGGGTTTAGTAGCTCATCCCCAACATCCTTTCCCTTGAGAGAATTATTGGGATTATAGGAGGGTTTCGGGTTGGGGGGGGGGAGGGTTTAGGGCAGGGCAGGGCAGGGTAGGCAGGGCAGGGCAGGCCAGGGCCAGGGCAGGGCAGGGCAGGGCAGGGCAGGGGCAGGGCAGGGGCAGGGCAGGGCAGGGGCACAGGGCAGGGGCAGGGGCAGGGCAGGGGCAGGCAGGGCAGCAATACAGATATCCTTCCACTTCCTTGGCCTACACCTTTTGTCAAGAGACAACAGTGCACAGCACAAGGAACAATCCATTACATGCCAGCACTGACACAGCACTTCTTTTTTTTGCATGCCAGCCAGCTGTATGTCCACCCCTCTTAGGAGGAGTCACCTAGAGTCTTACACTCCCAGTGAGTCCAACGTCCTTGCTGCACAAGGTGCCTATGAGGGCAAACTGTATTTGACCCTGTGGCACCAGTTGATGCTGCTCCACGTCCAGATTGCTCTGGCCATGGAAGCTCTGCTGTCATACCCCTTGCTGATCCTTGTGGCCTTATCCTGGGGTCCCCAGCCTCCAATGTATGCAAACTTTGGCTTGCCACTGCCTCGCTCACCTGCCTTACCCCTTGTCTTCAGATCTGGAAGCAAGCTCTCAATGATGAGTTCTTCTGGGCAAAGATCAGCGACAGTGATTCCTGACACTTCCTGGGGTGTGGGTGCCTCATACGGGGGGGCAGGCTGCAGTGGCTGAGCTGGGGCCCTGCTTATAAGCCTCAGTGCTCTCTGCCTGGCAGGATCTTCCAATTCCTCACCTCCGAGGAAGATGTCTGCAGGCCTGGCTGGTCCAAGTGCCGGTGCAGCCATGGCACGTGCAGCAGGTACCCTTGCAGGTGCTGCATGGGGGGCTGGAATCCAATGCTCATCAGCTTGGGCCCCAACAAAAGGTTCTGAGATGTGTTCCTGCAGGGTGGTGTTCCACTTCCCAGAAGCGAATCCAAGGGTGGCCAGCAAGTTGAGGTAGATCACTCTCTTGCCCTTGAACAAGGCTACCTGTCCTGGGTCATTTGTGTCAGGCCCTTGAGCAGCCATGCATCCAAAGCAGTCTCCTGCTTCTGCCCAAGCCCATGCTGCCAGGACATGTGCTTTGAATTCCTGAAGAGAAATTCGCTTGATCTGGATCAACCCTGTTTCCATCAGCTTCTTGACATAGTCCAGATTCAGCATTGCTCCAGGCAGCAGCTCTGCCAATGACTGTGCAGCTGATGCTCTGACTCTGGTCTCGAATCTGCCACCAGTAGCCTGATGAAGACGGCCCAGGAGCTGGAAGGTGTAGTCCTGAAGAGCTTGCTTCCTGTTGATCATGTGGTACATGTGGCTTGGCCACACAGGGTCCAGTCCTGTCAGGGCCAATCTTGTGTGGTGCAGGAGGGGATATAGCTGTATGGCTTTGCCTTCATCATTGCCAAAAGGGCCAGATCCATGAGGCTTTCCTTCGAGGGATCCATAAATGAACCCACCCAGGTTTCTCTGAGAACCAGGCACCAAGGGCAGCACCCTCCATTTGAAGCCATTCCGTCTGTCATGCCAGACACCATGTCCACTGCAACGAATACCAAACAGCCACACATGGTTCTCATCCCTTGCCATGAGGCCAATGTCCATAGCAGTATGAGCATCTGGTACATGTGGAATCTGATTCAAGACTTGTTGTGGGCTCGGCAGCAGCAGCTGCTTCATCCCAAATCTTCCTACATACACCTGGGCAATACCTGCACTCTGGAGCACTGCCTTGAACATTTCGCTCTGGACCTTGATCGCCCCTCGGGTCAAGCCTGAGTGATCAGTTGGTGTGGCAACTGGCTGCTCTGATCCCGCTCTCCAAAGAACCTCACAGAGATATTCCTTCCAGTCTTGCATGTCTTCACCAGCAGGTACTGGAACATACACAGCCATTGGGTATGGGCACACTTGGATGACATCCTGTGGCCTTTCTGGATATATCTTGAGGATAGGCTGCTGGAGAAGCTGGTAATCCAGCAATGGCGGCTCTGGAAGCTGATTTGTTGGCACTTTGCAAAAACTCATGTCCAGGTCCAGGGGGAAAACCTGGATTGGATTTGGCAGTGGCTCTGCTGGAGCTTGCACTGCTGGAGCTTGCACAAGTGCTCTCTGCACAGCCCTCAAGCGAAGCAATGCACCCAGAAAGTTTCTCTGTAGGAGACAGTATGCTGGGTTGTAGTGCGGAGTCACCACTTCATCTTCACCGAAAGGCCTTATGATCAGGCCAGGCAAATACCCTCCAATGATGTCCACAACCTCTGGTGGGAACGAAGCATGAGCCATGGCCTCCACCACTACAAGCTCGTTAGCTGCTATGGGCCTTTCCAACCAAGGACTGCTGTAACAGAACTCGCAAGTCATACTGCTGCATAAACTGACAGTGACATGACAACACAGAAAGGCTTCACATGTGTGGTCTGTCTCTTGTCGGTTTCTCTTCCTCTCTTTTTCTCGTCTGTCTCCGTCTCTCTCCTTTCTCTTCATATTTATGTCTCTCATTTTCTCTCTCTTTCTCTCTCTCTTTCTCCCTTTACCTCTCCCTCTCTCTCTCCCTCCCTCTCCCTCCCTCTCTCTCTCTCTCTCTCTCTCTCTCTCTCTCTCTCTCCCTCTCTCCCTCTCTCTTTTTCCTTCTCTCTCTCCCTCTCCCTCTCCTTGTTTATTATGGTCTCTATACCTTTCTCCTTCTCTTTTCCACCACCATCCTGTCTTTACTCCAATTGCCCCTGTCCCCCCCCCCTTCCCCCTAGTCCCTGTCTTCTTCTAATAATAATGAGCTGATGGGTTTTTTTAATTAAGGGGTACTTTATGCTCGGGGGGGGGCCCGGGGAGGGGGGGGGGGACAGGGACAACAGGAGTAAAAAGAGAGGGGTCCGGTCCCCCACCCCCCTGGTTTTTAGGAAGTGCTATGGTCCCCCATACGATTTTTGCGACTGCCGATACATTGCTCTTGTGATTTTACTAAAGGCTTTTAGGGTTGATAAGCTCCTGTTACAAGCATTTTGGTTTATTTGACAAGCATTTCGGCTTGTTTTGGCTTATTGCAGGATTTACTGGTTCAGGGCTTTGTGGGGGGAGGGTAGGATGAGAGGAAAAGTTTACCTTTTATGATAAAATTTTCGGGTTTAGGGTTTATAAGCTCCTTTTACAAGCATTTTGGCTTATGTTGGCTTATTGCAGGACTTATTTAGAATAGAGGAAGAGAAGGGGAGGAGGTTTATAAGCTCCTTTTACAAGCATTTTGGCTTATTTTGGCTTATTGCAGGACTTATTTAGAGTAGAGGAAGAGAAGGGGAGGAGGTTTATAAGCTCCTTTTACAAGCATTTTGGCTTATTTTGGCTTATTGCAGGACTTATTTTGAGTAGAGGAAGAGGAGAGGAGGAGGTTTAGGGTTTAGGGCCAGAGAATGGCCAGCCAAGGGCATCTGGTCCTTCATAGAGAAGGACGACGAAGAGCTGAGGGCTTACCGAGGTAGGGTCTCCTTCATTAAGGAGTCAAAGATAAGAGGATGTAGACTTTAAGTATTTGGTGTTAGGGTTTAAGGCTTAAGATTCAGGGGTTAAGGCTTAGATTTTAAGTTTTGGTGTTTCTACATCAAAGGCTTGGACCCCAAACCCTAAACCCTTAAACCCAATTCCACAGTAAGACCAACATAAGCTAGAAAAGGGAAATCCTTGCAAAAGTGGCTTTCAAAGCTCAAGCTAAAAAAAACAGGGTGTGGGGATGAACTTGGCTGTACCATGTCATGCTGCACTGCACTGCACCACACCTTTTTCTTGCCTGGCTCATCTGGCTTCAGTGCCACTGGGTGAGACTGCTATGGAACCCACTCACGGACTTCTTCTTGGCATCTCTTCGAGATTTCCTGAGTTCTTTCTCAACTTGGTACTTGAAGTTCCACTTGATCCTCAAAGCCTTCAGCTTCTCCTCCTTCTGCCTCTTCTTTTCCTCCTCCTTGTCCTTCTTCCTCCTTGCTCTTTGCCCTTGCTTCTTGACTGTCTCTTGCTCTTTGGTCCTTTTCCTTGGCTTGTTCTTCTTCCTGCTCTTTGCCTTGGGCTTTGCCTTTGGCTTTGGCTTGGCCCTTGGCTTGGTCTTAGGCTTGGCCTTCAAAGCCTTTAAGGACTTCTTCTTCTCATCCCTGGCCTGCTGGTTGGCTTTCTTGGCTTCGAATTCTTGTGCTTCTTCAATGCTGTAGGCTTCTCCTATACTGGCAGCCAAGTCGAGCCATTCTGCTTCCAGCCCTGGCGAGCTGGAAACACTTCCAAACCCTTTAAGGGGCATCTTTGAGCCACAGTGCCGCTGACAGAGGGGGGGCTTGAACCAGGGACCTTTGGGGTCCAGAGCACAGCACAGACCACTAGGCCACAGGTGGGCCTATTCCCCCCCTTCCGGACACAGGGCAGGGACAGGGAGGGGGCAGGGGGCAGGGGGCAGGGGGCAGCAGGGGGCCAGGGCAGGGCCGCCTTGGCCTTTCCGTTTTTAATTAAAAACAGAGGGAGGGAAGGTCGGGAGGGAGGGAAAAAGAGGGCAGAGGGCACAGGGGGGATCGAGCCAGGGACCTTCGGGTTGGGAGGCGGGCCAAGGACCACTGGGCTAGAACAGGCCTGTTTTTGGAGCTGGTCCGACACCTCTAGACCAGGCTCGAAGCCTCCAAAAGCAAAGAAATATTTTCAAAAACGAATGTGTTTTTTTATAAAAAAACCCTAAACCCTAAACCCTAAACCGTACCCTTCAATTCACTTAAACCCTCGCGGGGGTCAAACCCTTCAATTCACTTAAACCCTCGCGAAACCTTTGCTCGGAGTCGGCCTCGTCGAGCCGGAATCCTTCGCATTCCCTGACCCCAAACCCCCACACTTGTCGATGACTTTAACCCCCCATGTCTTTTAAATTCCGTCTGGGGCTACACATGTTTTTCCTGCATCCTAAATCCTAACACATCCATCCACATCCTGGAAACCCTAATGCACCCTAACAGCTTCAACAGAAAAGAACTTAAACCCTGTCACCCTCACTCTCAACACCCTGAATGCTCTGAACACTCTCAATGCCCTCAACATCCCTCAGTCCCTACTCAAAAAAGTAGCTTGTTCTAAGTTGAACAGTGTCTGGATTGAGGGCACAACTTTACGTGATGGTTTTGGGCTTTGAACTTACTTGAAGCTGGATTTGGGGGTCTCCAGTGCCTGTTTACGATTTGATGGGTCTCGGACTAGAACCTCAGCTTTAAACAATCGGCCCTTGACAAGGCCAACAAACTCAAACCATAAACCCAAGAACCTCAAACTGTAAACACAACAAGCTCAAAGCAGAAGCCAAGAAACAGAAATCGTCGTTTGTCAAGAGAGAAAGCTCAAGCCCTGAGCCTACCGAGTCTGGCGCGGCCACTGCCACGGACGCGTCAGTGTCGTAGAAATGGTCGGGGTGCCGAGTCGAGGCCTTTCATATGGCAACCTGAGTAGTTACTAATTACCAGTCAAACATCTAATGACATAGGTTCTATAGGGATTATAAGGCTTTTAGGATTTAGGGGTGAATGCCGTTCTGAGGCTCCATATATCTCCTTCTGAAAGGGTGATTCTCGGCTTGGTGAAGTTCTGGCGTGTATGCTAGTACAAACGAAGCTCAGCTGGATTCAGTTGTGATGAAGAGGGCGAGTGGTGTAAGGGTTGCCGATCGCGACGATGCATGTGCTACGATAGTTTTACTCAACCAGCCGAAACTTCAGCTTCATCAACTCTGTCACTTCATTCACGGGACCTCGACTCTTCAGACCGTAGTATAGACAAAGGCAAAGGGCCTTTCGACTCGAAGGCTTCATGTGGACAGAATGCCCAGCATCACCGCGAAAGTGTGCCATCGGATGCAGCCCAACGCTTCCTGGCACAGATCTGTGCCTACACAAGGGAAGTTGATAACAACGGAGCTGGGGACGGTTTCTATGTCACCGCCGACAGCGTATAGGCGAGCCCTGTGGCCAAGTGTCCTCGTCCCATCCCCTGTCGAACACCACCTACTCCCGCAAGGAGCGAGATTGGACTTGGAGGCAAGCTCGGGCTGAAGTCTCGAATGTCTAGATGAGCCTCAAAATCTCCTGCTACAGCTGCGAGCCAGAGGAGCACCGTTGGCAGGGATTTCCAATTGTCTGCAACGGAAAGACTACACACCATCCTTTTCCCAGGAGCTGCTTCCTACATAAACAGTTCTCCAAATACTAAGGACCTCCAAAGGCGACCTATGAACTCCCAAGTCCGGGCCAGCATCTGCACAAGAAGGGCTGCTGTTACTCTTACTCTCACCATCAATCGACTATTTATCATGTTACTCTGATGTCTCTGACTGTACTTACTATCTTGTTTGTCTGTTCTGCCACTTACGCACATCGCAAGTGCTTACCGGTGTATGTGAAGCCGTTTCTCGTCTCGTTAAGGCCGACATCGAGCCTGGAAAATGGGCCCTGGAAGCAGCAGCCTTAAGCTTCAAGGCTTCAACTACAACCGCGCCGGCAGCTTGGAGTTTCCAAGCGAAGCTTCAAGCTAAAACCACGGCGTTGGCTTTACCAAGTCCGTGGCTGCACACCGATGGTGATGTGCTCAACTGGCGTGTTGGATGTAAAGCTGAGGGTCGTTTCAGGCTCTGGCTTCTCCCACGGCATGAAGGAAAACCTCTGGACAACTCTGGCAATGGCAAGAAGGCCCTCGTACTCTGCCAAGCGCATCCCAAGGCAAATGCGAGGCCCGAACCCAAAAGAAAGCGTGTCGAATGGCGGATGTTTGATGATGCCCTCTGGTCCAAGCCATCGGGAAGGGCGGTAGCAGCGCAGGTCATTCCCAAGCTTCTTCTTGACCTCAGGATCATTCTCGAGGATGTACTGGAATGGAATAGCGAACTGCGTTCTGGGCGGCTGCCTCTTGCCCACCAATGTGAATTCTTCCAGGTTCTCGAATGCAAGAAATGCGGCTGGTCCTGTGACCCGAAGCGTCTCCAACCACACTGCGCGAACCAAGGGTAGCGACTCTAGCTGCTCAGTGGAAAGCTCCCCTTCCGGCAGTGAGCGGACTTCTTGTGCCACCTGCTTCTGCAGCTCTTGATCCCTGGACAGGTGGTAAAAAACCCACCCCAAAACCTGGCTTGTTGTGTCCGTCCCGGCAATGAGCAAGATGAGGATGTTGTCCAACAGCTCCTGGTTTGTGAACTTGTCGCCTTCCATTGCCCTCAGCTTCTCCGTGATGCTCTTGCCGCCGCTGTCCGCTAGCTTCATAGTCTGCTGACAGCGCTTGTCGAATTTCTTCTTGATTTTGTCCCCGTCATCAATCCACGGAGCCAGACCCGGTACTTTCCAGTAGGGCAGGGGGGCAAACATGCGCGTCTGCACGGCATCTTCCAGGACCTTCATATCATCGATGAGGTCAGGGCACCTGGTCTGCAACAAATTCAGCTCCTGTCCAAGAGCAGTCTTGCATATCACATCTGCCGTGTACAACGGCAGGAGGGCTGAAAAGTCCACTTCCTTTCCGGCTGAAATCTCTTTGTCTATCTCCTGGAGGAGTTGCTCTGCCACGCACTGCACAGAAGGGATAAGGCTCTCTACGTTCTTTGCGTTGAAGGCAGGGGAAAGGATTCGCCGCTCCCGCTTCCAACGCTCTCCCTCGGAAAAGAAGCTGCCTGCGACGATCGAGGAGGCATTTGATAATGCACTGAATCTCTGCATCTTGAAAGGGCGCAGACCAAGAACTACCTTGGCGTGCTCCCAGCTGCAGCAGCAGACCGTCCGAGAGCCAGCGAGATTGTACTCAAAGATGCCTTCCTGCTCACTTTGTGTGTGGAGCAACGAAGATGGCACAAAATCAAACAATGCCTCGTGAGAGAGAGAGAGAGAGCGCGAGCGAGAGAAAGCACGTTCCACATGAGCGGTGTTCTCATTTGTGTGACCGGCAACAAGGAGATCGTTGCACAGGACATCACAGGACCTTCGTCGCTTGCAAAACGGCTTTTCGCTGGATATTAGAGACTTGCCTCCGAAAGAAGGGTTTCACCTGTTGTGCAGGATGCGCACACACACACACACCTGTATTGCGGCGTCAAACTAGTTGTAGTACGTCTATAGTCTATAGACGCTCGAGAGATGTTGAAAGCCGGAGCCTAGGCACAAACGTCAAAGACAGCGTGGAGACACATCTTTGTGACCAGTGCATGTAACCCCAAACGGATCATGACTCGTATGTACCGGAAATGCTGCTTTTAAGTATGCACCTGACTTTTGCTCACCACTTATATGCATCGCAAAGGGTGACCACGACTTGCAATTAGGCATCAACCCGAAAACAAAGCTTATTCTCAATTTCCAGATTCTCTCGCGATGCACAGATAAGCCCAAACACGTCAACGGGCACAACCAATTCATGACATCAACACATACATGCAATGACCATTGCAGCAGTATTGGGCATCAAATCCTCATGGATATCCAAGAACAGCCCGAGCTACAAACGAAAATCAAAACGAAACATGTCTTCCTTCACACAATCCTCGCGAAATCAGTTTCTTAGACGTGCGACCGTTTCCCGCTCGATTTGTACAGCTTCGGCTTTCGTGCAGCTTCCAATCCCACCCCTAACCTCCCCAATCGCAGTGAACCAAAGACAACGAATACATCTACTAGTAACTAGTAGCAATGCCCCACATCTGACTAGACCAACGGCAGCAAGACGTTTATCGCAATTGTCCCACATCCCAGCTCCCAACAAACCAAGGGCAACGAATTGAACAACTTGCTGTGCCCCACATCCAACAAACCCGGCAGCAGCAACAGGTCCATGGTACCATGCCCAAGACCGCCTGGAAATAACGGCAAGAAGTCATTCACATTTCCCTGCCCCACATCTCAGCAAACAAAACCGTAACAAGTAGTAGTTAAATCTTACAATGCCTCACATCGCGGAATTAGCATGCCCTGTACCCCAGCAAACGAACGCAAACATGTCGTAAACTCCAGGCGCTCTTCATATAACGAAACTAGTATAGCTTCTGCAGACTTTTCGTGCTTGAAGCCCTGCTGTGGGACCGCCGCGTGTTCTGTTTGCAACTTCTGACATCAGACAGAGGTCTTCTGAAGTCTTCTTGTATCCACCAGTCATCTTGCATCTGAATAAAGAAATCCTTTTTAGAAGGCTGCCCCTTAGCCCTGACTTCACATTCATGTACTGGAAGGGACTAGAAGAGCGCTCGAGTCAACATGCTACACTTTAGGGGTGGAATCCGGCAGTTCGGCAAACCTAAGCTAGAGTATCAGAGGAGCGCAGCAGTCCTCGCCGTATTTGTCAGACCACTCCATGATTTTGTGAAAGAGTCGCCGGCCGTACTGCGTCTCTGGAAGGACACCGAGTAGCCACCCTCCGGGAACCTGTCGAAATCGCTCAGGCCTCGACTGGAGAAGGAGCCTCAGGTTCGCAGACAACCACAGCGCGAAGAGCCAGTGCGAGGTTTTCTAAAAGCTAGTAAGATTCTAGTAGCTTGAGCATACTTCAGCCACTGCACCAGGTCATTAAAAGCTTCAAGCTTCAAGACAAGGGAGGCAAAGGAGCTTGATGGCCAGCAGAGATGCGCCAGCCGCGGCCAATGCGGCTGCAAGCGCCCGGCGCTCCGTGACTATCTGCAGAACAGACTGCATCATGCGTGGCTTCGCCTCAGCTTGAAATGGCAAACTGCAAACGGAGTGGGGTCTAAAACGCCATGCAACCATTTGCAATAGATAATATCTTACCGTTACACTGTAACATGCAAACTCAACTATCGGGTTTAGGACGGGTCTGGTCGTAGGCTGTTCCATCGACGCCCAAGTGTCCAGGAAGGTCTCGATATCTTGCCGACCGAATGCTCGGATGCTTGCTTGAGCCGGAACCCTTGACGTGTTACAGCTTAGGTCGTAGGACATGTAATAAAATGGTAAGAGTTTCTTTGACGGTCTCAGAAAGGCGTGGAAATGGGGTTTTGCAGGTGTGGGCCTCAGGGCCCCCGTCAAGGCAGCAGATCCCACGATCGCCCAATTTTTTGGTATCCTGACCGGCCTGGCCGAGGGCCAAGATCCCAGGCAAGGCCTAGCGCAACGATACCTTCGGGAAAAACGGTATCAGAATTTTCCGACCGTGCGAATATGTACAGCACCTTCGGGCTGGTGAAAGGTATGAATTGTATGCAAAAGCGGCTAGCACGGATTTAAAAACACTAGGGGTGCTTACGGCTGAAGCAGAAGACTTTTTGTTGTCCGCCACTCACGGTATCTTCGGCCTGCCATGCGGGTAGTGGCACTGTCGAGGGGCCAAAGGCCGTTACACTCTCGACAGTCAGGCTGACTTTGCCTTGAGGCGGCGGCGTCATTATCTCATATGCGGAAGACCAATACAAAGTAGAACGACAGATAAGTCTTGGACAAAACAAACATGTGGTGACGAGCGGCTCTAGAAAGGAAATGCACGGAATGCGAGAAGCAATTTTGTAACATCTTGCTGCGAGATCGCGGAAGCATGATTTGTGAAGCTCTAGAGCCCTGCGTAGGAGTTGAATTCTTTGGCCACTCACCTCTCGACATGGCTTCGGGTGCGCGAAATGCAGCCTGAAATTATCCGACGTGCCCGACGGCTGCCCGGATGCCTGCGAAAATCTCCGCATAGCTGGACGATGCTCGACGTTCAAGTTCGGGGCTCATCCAATCCTTGGACAAGGCAATGATCTGCCTTCAACTCGACTTGTTGGCTTTGGAGTTGTGAGTCTTGTCGCTTTCACATGTGACCATCCGTGGCCTGGTCAAGGCTGAAGCATCCGAGCGTCGCTTGCAACATCAAGCCGATGCACATCATTCGAAGCCGAGGTTCGTGACAAGACGAGCCGAGTGTCAACATAATCATTCTCGTTTGAGAGTTGAGTAGCAGAATTGCAACTGCTATAGTTGAACTTACGTTGGCATGAACATGTAGCATGCGAGGATTCTTCCACTTGCAGCTCAGTTTCCGAACAGTGCCAGGAAGTTCCCATTCATTGACTGACGACCTGGACTAGTTTAATCAAGGTTGAGTCATTGCTCCAACCATTCGAGGGACCAATAGCTTCCTTTGGTTGCCTCTAGCGAGCTGTGTGCTTCCACGATGCTGGAGCATGCTGAAGCCTTGTCTTGTGGCTTCGAAAACTTAGGAGCCAACTGCTCCATGGCTCTGCTCGAACCTGGTGCCTGGCCGTGCATAGGACTGCGATATCAAAGCAACACATCTTAGCAACTAAAACATAAGAATGTGCCTTTTGTTTTGCAAAGTAGATGTTTTGCATTGAATACGATGGCTGTGTTTTGATGTGGATGCCGCGGGGGGCGGCCTCGTTTCACGGCAAGCGGGTCCTGTGCTCTGGAAAATTCTTTTGCAACGTTTGCATTTTTGGATTGTGAAAGAAGTAATGGAGGCACAAGAGGTATCTCCTAAGTCATGTGGCTCTGAAATGCGATTTCTCGGGTTTGATGCTTGGACAGAAGCGCAACATCGAGGACTGTGGAACCGAGACAACCAGAAGTCTAGTGCCAAAGCGTTATTGCTGCCTCTTGTTTCGCCTCCGGGACATCAGTGACTGCATGGTTTCTTGCCTCCGTGGAAGGCACTTCTCCATCGATGCCTCGGCTGAGACAGCGCAGCAATCTCTGAAGCTTTTCGGGGCTACGCTACTAAACGAAAATCCCTCCTGCCACGATAGTGGATACGGATGCTGTCGGAGGTATGCCAGAACGAGAACAGAAAAACGGATTTCAGTGAATGGCGAAGCACCCAACAGTGACTGGCTGGCATGCATGCAACGATGGTTGCCTAGACTTTTTGGCTCCTACAGGGCAAGCCCCGGCCACAGGCGATCTGAAAGCCACAGGACCCCTCAACTCAACCCGGCTGCACAAGCCGAAGCTGTAACGCAAACAACGTCTCACCAATGACTTTTCTATATTGAAAAAACTTCTTCTTTGCTTGACAGTTTGTGGACAAAAGCTGGCACAACAGTTGACTCCTTGAACATTTCTGAAGTTTCTGACTGGAGTACTGTAGTTTCTGTGAAACTCTTTCAGGTTCGTTCAACCCGGCACTTCAGGAAATGGAAATTAACATACCGCAAGCCGGGGTCTTGGAGGAGGCCTGCTTCGCACCCCCGGCCTGCTCAGGTCTACACAGACTCAACAGTGGCAAATCGAGTGAACAAGTACCGAACAACGCATGTCCAAGACAAAAAGAACTGAAGATGAACCTGGGATGACATTTTCAGTAGCACCAACCCAACAAGACTCGACTCGTTGATGCCAGTACCATTCAAAATTGCCAGGCTACGGCTGACTCTCGGATTCAGGATGGAATCTGGACTTGCAACAACATTTTGACAATTTCGTAGTCGAAGATGAGTTCGAGCACGCACACCGTGCACGGTGGCAACCGCACACCCACTTGGCTCTATCACGAGGGCTATCTTGGGCCCAGGATTCGCCCGCGTCGGTCGCGCCGAAGCTTTGCAGTGTCAAGTTTGCAACCCCGTTCGCTTACTACCAAACAAAGCTCCCCTTCAGGCCAATGCTTGTTCTACCTGGCCTGAACGGGCAATGAATGCATTGGGCCTCATAGGGATAAGGCACGTCCTGCGGCAGCATTGGGCTGCAGCTTTCTGCGGCACAGAAACAGGAATCCTCTGCACCGGCCCTCCAGTTTTTCATGCCCTGTCAGCATGAGCAAACACCCACCTTGATAAGATGATAAGATCACAGCACCCACAAGAGTTTCTTTTTTCAGAGCTGTGTTGTGTCACGGTATCCTTTCGCAACCCACATCTGCATTTCGGCTTAAGTCGTCTTCCTGGCCAGACAATTATAGGCAGGGCTTCGGGCTTCGCACCTTTCGGAGTTTTACTCACACTTTCCCAACATCACCTTGTTGTGTGCTGCTAAATACAACTTTTTGCGCTGCATGGCTTCCCCCCAGCGTCTCTTTTCTTTCGTCTTGCCTCCTGCACTGCCAGGTCTATCATAGAGCCAAGAAAATGGGCAAAGGGTCTGCAGCCTGCCCAACTGCCAGCCTCAGGGGCCCTGGAGCCCTAGGAGGTCTTGGGTTGCAGGTGCTTGGCTGGGATTAGCATGAGTAGAGCATGAGTGAATGACTTTCCGTAGTAGTAGCCAGGTTCTAGCGATTGAAGCAGCCGTCCGCCGGTGTGTGATCCGCTGAGCGCGATCAGCTCTCTTCCATCTAACACCAAGAAGCTGAAACACCCGTCATTGGCAATCAAGAACTTTCAAGCCGGCCATGCAGTTGTCGCTGGAAATTAAGCCATGTTGCTGTCGCTGTCCAAGCGATACATGCGTCGCCGCATTTGCTCCCGCATCTGCTCCCTTGCAGCTTGACACTCAAAACTCGTGTAAGTGTGGGGGGCTTATCCCCCATACCCGCCTCATGTCAGCCGTCAGCTGGCGCCGCCTGCTTCGCGGGCATGTGGGTTTCACATGTTTCATTGGACAGATTTGACGAAATTTGCAGCCGAGTGACGGAATGGGGACGGCGTCTGTAGCAACCACTGGCGTCAGGCGCTGTGCCTCGGGGAGCTCCCAAGCTGCGGGAAGAGTGGCTTTTGGCCCGAGCCGCCATTCCTAAGCACTCCTTTCAGGACAGGCACCCACGCCTCACCTGGGGTATCGTGTGAAGAATCTGGCACATGTCCTTCCGCAAATCAGCATGAATCGTTCTTCAGACTGATCTAGCTGGATGACTGGATGGAACGTCCTGATTCGACTTCCATATCATCCATCACGGAGTTGGGCAGATTTGCGGGCTGCGGTTCCTGGGCCGGTGTGTTCAAGCAACAGCTCAGGAGGCGGCAAGCCGAAGTCTGAAACCACCAAACGCACCAGACGCATCTACAGAAGAATTTTGCAGCCGAGAGCATCAGCCACGAAAAGGACTTATGTAATCTTGTTCACGGTTGGCGGCCCCCCCAAAGGTACCCAATCCCCCCACCCCCCAACCCATGTGGAACGCTGGGGTCGTGAGTTTCGAGTTTTAATACAGTCCCGTCCGCGCATTTGGGGGGGAGAACGCGCAGCGCACAACCATGGATAGCCACAGCAGCCGCCAGCCGAAATCACAATCAATCTAGGCTTTTCCGGGCGCTAAGTGTCCTGAACTCCCTGCAAGCTGGACTGAATCTCACCACGCTGTCCCATGAAGTGTGTTCCGTCCCATTGAAGACAGATAGAAAAATCACGCAGATTCACGGATGCTTGAAACCAAGTTGCATGGCCAGCGGTCAAATCTGCCTTCCCGGATTGGCGATGTATTCGAGAAACTCACAGCTCACAGTGAGTCCCTCGCATGACTTCTGAAACCCCTGCTTCAGCAAACCCTTTGGGCCTTGCTGGACGTTGGCGAGGAAGGCAGTACAGAACACGCCTGTGGACACGGTAAATCGAAGGAACCAAAGCCGAGCTCCGGTTCGGTTCAAGCTGTCTTGACTTGATCCTTTCTGCAGATTTCCCATGGGTTGACCCAAACCTGATGGCTGGTGGGGAATCATATTGAAAACATTCACCGGTGGCGGTGGTTGTATCTACCGGCTGCGGAAGTGACGAATATGTAGACGAGTGTGGAATGGATAGTTGCAATATGACAAAAGGAAGGCTCACGGAGCGCCCAATCTCCAGTTTGTTGAGAGGTAAGAATGGATCTGAGACGGCAAGCCGTTGATCGATTGCTGCCCCCATCGGTGTCCCGATCAGTGTCCCGGTCGTTCCCTTGTCATGTCCCGGGTCTGTGGTCGTGTCCCGATCGGTGTCCCGGTCGGCATGCATCGCAAACAAGCACATCAAGCAGCAGATCGCAACATCCAGGGAGGAATCAGGCTTCTGGGAATGAGCTACACCGAAAAATGACATCCGCCAACTTTCCTTGATTGCTGCAAAGCAGGATGCGCTTCTCGGGGAATCAGCGTACGTGAGTGTTGATGAGCCGATCGCTCTTCCACATGGTTGCCGAATCGGGAAGCAGCTCCACAGCGATAAAACTCGATGATCCCTGGCTTCCGGCTTGCGACGGAAGCCTTCTCTGGCCACAAGGCTCCGATCTTATTTCGCTTCTCTTCGTGCGACAAGCGGGGAAGCCCGGCTGGTCACTCGAAGACGTGCAAAACATTTCAAGACAAAAAGCTGCTCTTTGGCTATACGGCTAGAAAGTACCTGTACACTTCGTGTCAGCATTCCCCGCCGTGGCCTCAACCCAGCTTGCTTGGCCGAGGTATGCAATCCTCATTCGCGGCAAGGTTCGGGGATGAGTTGGCTGCATGTTGCATCTTTGCTTCACTGCCGCTTCAAAAGCGAATTTCTGTGAGACGAACTGTTTCGAACTGCACAATTTGGTCTTTGCCGCCGCGGTGCTCATAGCCCCCTTGTGATTCGTCATCCTCAGGTTCGCCTGGCGTGGATGCCATTTCACGCCATCTCCCTTCCCGGGAACATGTACCACAAGAATGAGCCGAGTTCGAGGTCAAGGCCTTGCTGCTCTATCCATCTCTTTCGGTAACCTCAGCGAAAAACTTTGGACATCTGTGGACCCTCCTCCTGACTCCTCCAGTTGATTCGAAGCGTGTTAAAAGCTGCAGCTGAAATGCAAGGATTGAACTTCATGAAATTTTCACGCCAGGCGACTGTAGAGAGGCACGAGCACGGCACCCAGAAGAAGGAAGCCTCCAAGAGAGGCAGCCTTGACAGGGACAGGGGAGAGAGCAGAACAACGAATCGATCGCACTCGGCTGCACTGCCCATACCTAACTTGCAAGGTCGTTGATGCGACGACTTCTGAGTCTGAACATTTATCTGGCGAACTTGCTCCACCCGCCCTTTTCTCTCAGGTCCGTTCGGCAGCTGTCCCTCCCGGCGATGTTGCACCGGTGCCCAGCAGAAGCCCATCAGGATCGCCTCTTGAAAATAAAACCAAGCTGTCAAATGCTGCTTCGGCTTACGAGTTGCTGTCAAGATCTTGCCTCCAGGAGTCACCGTAGAGGTTTCAGTGAGAGTAGTAGAAGTCCCGGTGGACGAAGAAGTCGTGGAGCTGGTCGTCGAAATGGTGGAAACCGATGTTGACGTGGTCGTGTAAGAAGTTGTCGTTGTTGAGCTGGTAGTGGTGGTTGAGGAATTCGTAGTTGAGGTCAAAGTGGAAGATGTAGTGGTGGACGAGTACGTGGTGCTCGATGTCGAAGTAGTAGTGGAAGAGTTTGTTGTGGAAGTCGACGAAGTTGAGGATGTAGAAGTTGTTGTGGTGCTGTAGGATGTGCTCGTGGTGGAGCTCTTCGTGCTTGTGGATGAACTGGAGCTGGAGGTTGTGGAAGTTGATGTCGACGTGCTGGACGATGTGCTTGTAGAAGACGTCGTGGTCGAGGATGTGCTAGTCCATGAAGTCGTACTTGATGACGAGGACGTCGAGCTGCTACTTGTCAGCGAGGTGCTGGTGGATGAAGTGGTTGATGTTGAGCTCGATGTCGATGTCGACGACGTGCTTGAGGTGGATGTGGAGGTCGACGACGTGGATGTAGAGCTGCTGCTGGTGGAGGACGTGCTCGTGGATGAGCTGCTGGTGCTGCTCGTTGATGTGGAAGAAGTGGATGTGGAAGTTGAAGATGTTGTTGAAGAAGATGTTGAAGTCGACGAAGTCGATGTGGAACTGCTGCTTGTGGATGAAGTGCTCGAGGAGGACGTGCTAGTGCTACTTGTGGACGTTGATGACGTTGAGGTGGACGTGGACGATGTGCTTGATGAGGATGTTGTGGTCGACGAAGTCGATGTGGTACTGCTGCTTGTAGATGAAGTGCTCGAGGAGGATGTGCTTGTAGCTGATGTGCTGGTGCTGCTCGTTGACGTCGATGAGCTCGACGTGGATGTGGAAGAGGTGCTTGAAGAAGATGTTGAGGTCGACGAAGACGATGTGGTACTGCTGCTTGTGGATGAAGTGCTCGACGAGGATGTGCTAGTGCTGCTGGTGGACGTCGATGAGCTCGAGGTCGATGTGGAAGAAGTGCTTGAGGAGGATGTGGATGTTGTCGTTGTTGTGGTGGTGCTGGAGCTGGTAGACGAAGTGCTTGTAGATGAGGTGCTGGTGCTGCTTGTGGACGTAGAGGAGCTCGAGGTGGATGTGGACGACGTGCTTGAGGAGGATGTTGACGTTGTTGTAGTCGTTGTCGTGCTGCTGCTCGTGGATGAAGTGCTGCTAGATGAGGTGCTGGTGCTGCTGGTGGAAGTGGATGAACTTGAGGTGGACGTGGACGAAGTGCTGGTCGAAGATGTTGAAGTCGACGAGGTCGATGTAGTGCTGCTGCTTGTGGATGAAGTGGTCGTATATGACGTGCTGGTGGTGCTGGTTGAAGTAGATGAGCTGGACGTGGATGTGGACGAAGTGCTCGACGAAGATGTTGAAGTCGACGAGGTCGATGTCGTGCTGCTGCTTGTGGATGTAGTGCTCGTAGATGAGGTGCTGGTGCTGCTGGTGGAAGTAGATGAGCTGGACGTGGATGTGGACGAAGTGCTCGACGTAGATGTTGAAGTCGACGAGGTCGATGAAGTGCTGCTGCTTGTGGATGAAGTGCTTGTAGATGAGCTGCTGGTGCTGCTGGTGGACGTTGACGAGCTTGATGTGGATGTCGAAGACGTGCTTGACGAGGATGACGAGGTGGAGGAAGTGGATGTGGTACTACTGCTTGTAGAGGATGTGGTGGTGCTGCTTGTCGACGTCGATGAACTGGATGTTGTCGAGGTCGATGTGACGGTTGAGGACGTGGAGGATGTAGTAGTCGAAGAAGTGCTACTTGTTGATGTCGTCGTAGAACTGCTAGTTGTAGAGGATGTGCTCGTGGACGATGTGGATGATGTTGAGCTCGATGTCGATGTCGACGACGTGCTTGATGTGGATGTGGAGGTCGACGACGTGGATGTAGAGCTGCTGCTGGTGGAGGACGTGCTCGTGGATGAGCTGCTGGTGCTGCTCGTTGATGTGGAAGAAGTGGATGTGGAAGTTGAGGATGTACTTGAAGAAGATGTTGAAGTCGACGAAGTCGATGTGGAACTGCTGCTTGTGGATGAAGTGCTCGAGGAGGATGTGCTAGTGCTGCTTGTGGACGTTGATGAAGTTGAGGTGGACGTGGACGATGTGCTTGATGAGGATGTTGTGGTAGACGAAGTCGATGTGGTACTGCTGCTGGTTGACGAAGTGGTCGTTGAGGAAGTACTGGTCGACGATGTGCTGGTGCTGCTGGTTGAAGTGGACGAGCTGGATGTGGATGTGGACGAAGTGCTCGACGTAGATGTTGAAGTCGACGAGGTCGATGAAGTGCTGCTGCTTGTGGATGAAGTGCTTGTAGATGAGCTGCTGGTGCTGCTGGTGGACGTTGACGAGCTTGATGTGGATGTCGAAGACGTGCTTGACGAGGATGACGAGGTGGAGGAAGTGGATGTGGTACTACTGCTTGTAGAGGATGTGGTGGTGCTGCTTGTCGAAGTCGATGAACTGGATGTTGTCGAGGTCGATGTGACGGTTGAGGACGTGGAGGATGTAGTAGTCGAAGAAGTGCTACTTGTTGATGTCGACGTAGAACTGCTAGTTGTAGAGGATGTGCTCGTGGACGATGTGGATGATGTTGAGCTCGACGTCGATGTCGACGACGTGCTTGATGTAGATGTGGAGGTCGACGACGTGGATGTAGAGCTGCTGCTGGTGGAGGACGTGGTCGTGGATGAGCTGCTGGTGCTGCTCGTTGATGAAGAAGAACTGGATGTGGAAGTTGAAGATGTTGTTGAAGAAGATGTTGAAGTCGACGAAGTCGATGTGGAACTGCTGCTTGTGGATGAAGTGCTCGAGGAGGATGTGCTAGTGCTACTTGTGGACGTTGATGAAGTTGAGGTGGACGTGGACGATGTGCTCGATGAGGATGTTGACGTAGACGAAGTCGATGTGGTACTGCTGCTGGTTGACGAAGTGGTGGTTGAGGAAGTACTGGTCGACGATGTGCTGGTGCTGCTGGTTGAAGTGGACGAGCTGGATGTGGATGTGGACGAAGTGCTCGACGAAGATGTTGAAGTCGACGAGGTCGATGAAGTGCTGCTGCTTGTGGACGTAGTGCTCGTAGATGAGGTGCTGGTGCTGCTGGTGGAAGTAGATGAGCTGGACGTGGATGTGGACGAAGTGCTCGACGAAGATGTTGAAGTCGACGAGGTCGATGAAGTGCTGCTGCTTGTGGATGAAGTGCTTGTAGATGAGCTGCTGGTGCTGCTGGTGGACGTTGACGAGCTTGATGTGGATGACGAAGACGTGCTTGACGAGGATGACGAGGTGGAGGAAGTGGATGTGGTACTACTGCTTGTAGAGGATGTGGTGGTGCTGCTTGTCGAAGTCGATGAACTGGATGTTGTCGAGGTCGATGTGACGGTTGAGGACGTGGAGGATGTAGTAGTCGAAGAAGTGCTACTTGTTGATGTCGACGTAGAACTGCTAGTTGTAGAGGATGTGCTCGTGGACGATGTGGATGATGTTGAGCTCGACGTCGATGTCGACGACGTGCTTGATGTGGATGTGGAGGTCGACGACGTGGATGTAGAGCTGCTGCTGGTGGAGGACGTGCTCGTGGATGAGCTGCTGGTGCTGCTTGTTGATGTGGAAGAAGTGGATGTGGAAGTTGAAGATGTTGTTGAAGAAGATGTTGAAGTCGACGAAGTCGATGTGGAACTGCTGCTTGTGGATGAAGTGCTCGAGGAGGATGTGCTAGTGCTACTTGTGGACGTTGATGAAGTTGAGGTGGACGTGGACGATGTGCTTGATGAGGATGTTGAGGTAGACGAAGTTGATGTGGTACTGCTGCTGGTTGACGAAGTGGTCGTTGAGGAAGTACTGGTCGACGATGTGCTGGTGCTGCTGGTTGAAGTGGACGAGCTGGACGTGGATGTGGACGAAGTGCTCGACGAAGACGTTGAAGTCGAGGAGGTCGACGTAGTGCTGCTGCTTGTGGATGAAGTGCTTGTAGAGGAAGTGCTGGTGCTGCTAGTGGACGTAGAGGAGCTCGAGGTGGATGTGGACGACGTGCTTGAGGAGGATGTTGACGTTATTGTAGTCGTTGTTGTGCTGCTGCTCGTGGATGAAGTGCTGCTAGATGAGGTGCTGGTGCTGCTGCTGGAAGTAGATGAACTTGAGGTGGACGTGGACGAAGTGCTTGACGAAGATGTTGAAGTCGACGAGGTCGACGTAGTGCTGCTACTTGTGGAGGAAGTGCTCGTAGATGAGGTGCTGGTGCTGCTGCTGGAAGTTGACGAGCTTGATGTTGAAGTCGAGGACGTGCTTGACGAGGACGACGAAGTCGAGGAAGTCGATGAAGTACTGCTGCTCGTGGATGATGTGCTTGTGGATGAGGTGCTGGTGCTGGTGGTTGTCGATGACGTGGAAGATGTCGAGGTAGAGGTAGTGGTGCTGGATGATGTCGATGTCGTGCTGCTTGTCGTGCTTGTTGAAGAAGACGAGGATGTGGTCGTGGTTGCTGTGGAAGACGACGTGGAGCTTGTAGAACTAGAAGTATGCGTTACGGAGGATGTGCTTGAAGTGGACATCGTTGTGGTTGTGCTCCTTGGATGTATGGCCTCTTGGTTTCATGCTGATTGCAAAATTGTTACAGAAAGTGTCCCGCCGTCGCTCATAGCAGTCTTTGTTACCTTTTCTGGCCAAGCCATGCCAAGTGTCACCCACCAATCCGGAAAGCCTGCGGGACAACGACACTCTAACATGCATGTCGACAGTCGACACCTTTCAATGAAGATTTCTGGATCCTGGGCCCGGCCTGTGAATGTGCCCTGCGTAGCCCGCCCGTTGGGATTGGCGGCATAAACAAAGAGAAAGCGCTCTGTGGCAGCAGTACCCTTTGAAAGTCAGCACACAATCGTAAGCAAGGCACTGCCGCTGCAACATGATGCAACCAACAGCCTTGCATGGTGCCCTGATGCGTGCCTACCGTGAGATCTGTGAATGCTGAGGGGCGTTGGTAATCTCGTAGGACGACCGGCTCGCGCCCACTGAGTCGATCATCCGCTCGTTTGTCCCCAAAGCGTCCTCTGCCAAGTACAGCTGGAACTCCGCCACAAAGCCTCATTCCAATAGCATCGTTGGAGTCCAGATGTTCCGCACATTTTCAACTCAAGCAAAAGTTGCTTACTTGGGCAGACCACCAAAGTCTGTGGTTGCAGCACCGCGCTGCCAACTCACAGTGCCTCCGATGGAATTTTCATGAAAGTCTTCGTCCGTGAACTGAACGCTCGCCACCTGGGCAGCCACACATTCACGGTTGCCATCTGCAGCTGTAACCTATTTCAACTGAGAATCCGCGACGTCACCACCCAATGTCCGGCTAGATGTGTCATAAAGTGCGACCTCAGCCGTGACATGAATGGTCCGACTTGTGCCCATTCTGCTGTCCCAGTCTGCATCCGGACCATTCCATACACTGGACGACGTCTGAGGCAACTTGCAAGACCAGCTTCTTGGAAGGCGGTCTCTGAAGAAACTCCCTGAGCTGGCCGCAAAACCGGTAGTAACATGGGCTGCACCACCAGATGTAAGTCAACGGTGCTGTTAGTAACTGCATTTGTACACGCGCAGTTCCTCGGCCTTCACTCCGATTTATGCAAAGCAATACGATGCGGCGTGTTCCTCTTGCCTCTGCTGGATGCAACAAGCGGGAGGCTTCTTCAACCACACCTTTCTTTGCCCAAACCAGAACGGTTTGGGCCGGGTTTGGAATGGGTCGCGCCCAGGTTAGGGAGGTGGGGCCAGGGGGCCAAGTGCGTGTTGCAACCCTCCATTCGCTGCGCTAAACTCAGATATCGGCTCCCCCGCCGGTTTCCCTCCCATGGCACCGGCTCAGGGAGCCGGCAAATACCTTTGGCTTCATGTGGTTCCAGGAATGTCATAACATTCAATTCGTGGATGAGTGAAGAGGCCGAGGGAGCTCGAGCCCCAGTTGCCTGGATGCGAGCATCGAGTCCCCACAGGGCCGTACGGAATGCAAGAAGTTTCCACACGCGAGTGCTCAAGACAGCGGAAGCGCTGTCGTACGTTTAGTGCTTGTTATCGGGATGTGCTTCCATCACCCGATGACATGCTGAAGTCGCTTGGTCACTGGTACAAGACCGACAAAACCACACATTATTGCCTCGTCTGCCATACTCCTCGTCATGTACCTCCCATGTTGATGTCTGCATGAAGAGCTGCACGACACTGCGCATCGCCCCTGGCTGCACCGTACTTTGGTTGACTCGCCATGGTTCTGCAAGGCAATGGCTGCGTACTGTTCTGTTATGTTTTTGGCTCTTTTGCACCTGCAACTTCAACCAAGTGTCTGGTCGGTTGGTCAGGACGACGACCCACTGCGCTTTGTATCCAAATTGCAAGCTACCTCAGTAGAAGATAGTAGAAGTGTTCCGACTGCCAGGCTCTTTCCAAGACACTACGACGGTATCCTAAGCATAACTGAGACCGAGGCGATCGGCATTGGCTGCCGATAAACTTACCTGGTTGATACCCACGGGAACGTAGAATCGACTTGGATCCTCCGGTCGAGGGGCTGTGCAATTGTGATGCTGGCTAGCGACGCTGTGCTCTCCAGCTTTTGCTGCAGACGTGAAACAGGAAGCTAGCGGTATCGGTACTACAAACACAGGTCTCGGCTACTTAAGCAAATCGGAGCCAGCCGTCCTCCAGTTACTGACTTGTTCAAATTTCCGCTTTGCTTCCCCACACCCGCAGGACGTGCCGGCGGCGGCGCAATTCTGATTTCTGGTGTTCAGCTTATTTCAGGATGCAGTTAGGTTCACAGATCCATGAACTGCTCCAACCTATGTAAGGCCTTGCTTGTTCCCTGACACTGCCTACACGAACAACGGAATTCTGTTTGGTAGCGCTTCACAGTTTCCAGCGTGTTGCCGTCAGCGCAAAAACAAACGCGAGCCATGCAGTGCAACCCATCTTCTCACCCCCCATGCAACATCTTGAGTCTTGAGGGTTGGTAGGTCCTTCTTAAATCTTAAGCAACAGCCTCCAAACCACACACATGACATGGATAGCTGACACAGCATACAATGCACAGAGACCAGACCAACCAAACATTCCCACTCACTTCAACAATTGTGCTGAAAGACGCAAGCTCCATAAGAAAACCAGAAGAAATCCGAAAAGGCATGCGAACCAGTCCAGAACTGGCACCCGGCACCTCGTTGCCAGTGAACAAACACTGACGCCATCACTCACCCAGCGCAAAGCCGCACGACCAATAGCGCACGGACTAATCCTACTCTGTGTGTCTCAGGACGCCCAGCTGCGGTACGTCAGATCAGGCTCAATCGGATTTCATCAACACACGTCCATTTTTGTTTTGTTGGTGCAGTGCTGGACGTCACCGCGGCCCCTGTGATATCTTCCCTGCCACCGGGTTTTACTCTGCTTCGTGCGGTGTGGCTTGACGCACTTGTGCTGAGTGGCGGAAAGAAGGTTAGGATAGTTTTGACGTGCTGGAAGGGCCCCAAAGATCTTTCCGCTTGAGCCTATGTGACAGCCTATGTGTCTTGTTGGATAATGGATTCCAACAACACGCACTTGATGGGCTACCACGGTTCACGAGCGCGGAGGCATGAGTGAAGCATCGCCTCCTGAAGGGCTGCCGTGAGTGGCGGCAGGCTCGCGGCCAGGCAAACAAAAAGTGATTGCTTGTTCAGAGCCAAGGCCGGCCAAGGCAACATTCTGGAGGGAGGAACTATCTGACTTCAGAAATTTGTTGGCCGAGATCTGCCTCAGAAATGGCACAATTTGAAGCACAAGGTTTGATCCAAAAACCAAGTTCAGGGCACGATGAAATTGAAGAGCACCAGGACGAAGATTTGATCACAGCGGCCGGATCATGACAAAGTCTGTCCCACCAGCAGGGAGCTTCAACACAGCGGACCAGAAACGGCTTCCAACAGAGAGGGCTACTAATCTATAGTGCACTGGATGAGGTGCGAGAGGGGGGGGGTTAACACACATCAGGGCGCAGAAATATGCATCACCCCATGTTGGACGCCATTTCAGGGAATTACACATCAGCGCCGAAATTCACCCCAACTTTAATCTCGAAGGTGACGCTGGATTGTGTTGGTCGTGGCCGGAAACGAAACTTAACGAAATCTCGCGGACGCCAGTGTTCTCGGCACGGACCGCTGCCATTTTGATGCGGCATTGATGCGTTTTGGTAGCGAATCACGAAGGTGACGCTGGTTTCTGTTGTTGCATTACTGCAGCTGTAGCTAAATACCCTTCGATCACCTTCGAAGCACTTATACTGCGCGATACAACCGAAAATCACGTACCGAATCTCGCCTTTCGAAGCTTACCGTTGGGAGCAGGAAAAAAGCCAAGCCAAGATTCACACACCGGGCGTTAACCTCCGAAACACTTGTACTGCGCGATACACCGTTCGAAGCCTACGATTTTCCTTGATTCCCGGCCAAACATAGTGACCGAGACTCCTTTTAAGGCAGCAGCTGCTAAAAGAAAGTCTCCGACTGCAGCAGTAAAGCCGGCCATTCCATACCACCGGAACTGAAGTGTGGACGCTGAAACGTTAGGCCGGGCTGCTAAATGCTTGACCGCAAGGTGGACGCTGAAGCGGTTGATGTTTGGATGTATTGCCAGAACGGGCTCCGAGATGCTTAACCGCAAGGTGACGCTGATACACTTGATGTTTGCACGTATGCCAGGCCGGGCTCCGAAATGCTAATTAGACCGCAAGGTGGACGCCGAAATATGTGCATTTCCGCAACGCGATGCGAGTTAAACCCTCCCCTCTTAAATTGTGACTCGTGTGACACGTCACGTCCCTGGCCGCCGATTCGCGGCAGAACGGCGGAGCTCGGAAGCAAAGTAGTAATGATTGCGGCGTGCATCATACAAGTTCTATGGTCTTGCCTCCTGCTGAGCGAGTCAATGCGAGCCACTTAGGAAGGGTGAAGATGTTATACGACAAAAGTCTCGTTCATGCGACGGGTTGGGATGCTGGGCGGGAAGCTTGAATTCAGCCTTTACTGGCCCTTGGGGCACCTGCAGAAGATAAGCATGCCTGGTTGGATGATGCTGAGACATACATTTGCCAAGAACACAAGGGTAAAGTGGCGAATGCGGCACTCGTAGCCGTAACGAAAGCAATGATGGGTTCGGGGGAACCCTGCCGCATCGTTGTATTTTTCCTCTTGATATGTCTCCCCCTGCCAATCATTACGAGTTGGGGAACGTGGAAAACATTTGACACATGCTCAGTCCCGCTGTATAAAGAGTGCAACAATCCGGTCTGGTAATTTCGCTGTGTACCTTTCACCCCCTTAGAGCATCTCGCATGTAGTTGTCGATCCGTAAGATGGAATTTTTTCTTTTTTGACTGCTTTATTCTGACTCTCTGGATTGGAACTTCTGCGAAGAATTGCGAGCGCTTGAAGCTGCTTCACGACCCTGTTCTCCCACCCGTCTAGCTGACCAGGTTGCACTGCAGGGAGGCCGTTCGAGACTTGCAGTCGGGGGTTCTCGCGTGCAGCTGTGGCCTACCGGTGCTGTATGGCATTCGGACTTTCTGCTTTCGCTGCACTACGACTAGTGGCTCATTCAGAATGCACTTGCAGCATCAGTAGCAGCATCTACACACTATAAGGAATGATTGCGGCAACACAAGCCGCAGTCATCGTTGAGGCTAACGGACACAACATTGTGAGTTCGTCGTGCTCGGCATGATACAGGAGCAATCGCCGAGGAAGAACAGAGTGACACTGCTGCCCATGTGCTCTGTGTGAGAATGTTCTGCCGGACCCTGACCCACTGACAAGTTAGAACAAAACCACAGCAAGACTCTCAAGCACACGGCACAATCAACTGCATGTGAAAACACACCAAAACAAGAACCTTCACCCACAACGAGGTTATGGAAGCGCATCGCTGGTAACTGAGTGATAGTGGGGCTTGATATGAAGTTCGAGCATGATCAAGGCGGCGAGAGTCAATTAGCCGGGCCATGTTGCTGTGGCTTTGGGATGCTTTCCCGGAGCCCGAAGATTGTTGTGTCTCGTGTGGTTTGCCTTGAGCAGCACCTTGTTCGTACATGCACCAACTGCCTCCGTTTGCGCTGGATTGCCTGAACTATGATCGTCAGTGCGGCTCTGTCCATCGGGAGTGTGGCAGAGACAGATCTAAGACTCCGTGTGGAAACGTTTGCACACTACGAATCAGAAGTCCCCATCTTACGCCTGCATGCAATCGGTCTACAAACAGACGATATGACGTGAATAGTCATATGCTTTGCAAATCCCCGGTCCGGCAACAAGCTGTTGACCACAACTTTCGATGCAAGAAACTCGATCAGGGCAAAGTTGTCCTGACAAGCGGCTCAGGAGAAACCACGGCTCTCCGCCACAGATTCAAGCAAACTCTCCATTCAACTCACGTCCTGCGAGTTGTCGTGTGCCAGCCAGACAGTATAGCTCCCAACTAGCGATACATCTGCAGGTGGGTCCCAAGAGACCGTGCCCGCCAACGAGTACTCGCCAGTATCAGTGTCCGTAAACTGAACGTTGCCTCAGCCCATGTGTGCAATCTGATCGCTGGATGTCTGCCAGACTGCAACGCCCGTCTATGGGACAGGCTTCAAGAAGTTGTGGGGTTTTGCGTTCGCTGAACCTTCGTGTGCACGCTCGATGCATTAGATCGCATTAAGATGTTACTTCTCTCTGCACTCTGCCTGGCCGTCAGCATCTTTTCCAGATCTCCAAGATCGAGAAACAGCTTTCCGGGCCAGGCAATTTCGGTCTAACATTAGCCCATTGAATGTTGCTCATAGAGTAACATCGAGTATCGGGCAGTCAGACGGCTTATATGAATTCGGGTGATACGTTTTACTGAGCTATGGGAGCTGCAATATCTGACGCCGCCGCCTGGCCATGACTGGTGCCAGCAGAACCGAAGAAAACGCCCTGAAGAAAAAGCTCTGTACCCTCCCCTTCTGGTTGCCCTGTCAAACTCGGGTTCTGTCGAAACAAAACAGTGCATCAGAAAGTTGCCCTGTTGAGGAGGCTCCCTGAACTTCGGCCTCTCTTTCGGACTTTCTGTTCTGTGACTACCCCTCTCTGCATCTTCGGCACTTCTCGACTGCCTCCACATGAGTGTACTTTCACCAGTAGGCAATGAGATGCTACCTTGTATCTTGTTGGACCTGCATCTGTCTTCCAAGTCAGTTCAAAAGGGGTAACGACTCCCTTATCTTTTTTGCTGCTACTGATGTGCGGATTTCTTCTCACGTTTGCAATGCCAAGCCGCCCGAAGTGGTTTACATGTTCAACACCTAGCTTTTCAACAGTGTGATCACAATGCCCAGGCGAAGCAACTCGTTGTATGCGCTGAGCTTGAGCTCTAGCTACGCCCTCCCGTTCCAAAAATAATCGCAGTGCAGCACAGAAAGACCCGTGGCGAATCCCCCAAGTAAACTAAATCACCCTCTGACACCCCAGTCTGACGACTCTCAGAAAGGATGAGAAAGGAACAGGCAAAGCAATAGGAAGTTCTTCACATCAGCTTGCAACAGTAGTGAAGAAGCGAAGCCTTGCGGAGAAGTTGCTGACTCCGCTGCCCGCGCAGCATGAGAGGTACAGCAAACTCAACCTCACCGTGTAACACCTGGACTGTCATGTCACTGCGATAAAGCACGCCTCGATGCTTGATGCTCATGTAAGAGCGCATGGGCATGCCTCATCGTCCATGCTGCTTTCAACATTGCACGGCATCGGTGCAGCGTTGAAGTGACACGCCTACATGCAACAGCCTGGACTAGCTTCGCCCCGAGGGCTTCATGACGAAATGACCGTGCTGATCAAGGCAAAGCAATACGACGGAGCGTGATATTGTAGGTGCTGTCACTCTCACTCTACATTCTACAGCATCCTGCAGCGGTAAATATGAAGCGTTGATTTTGATCGGCGCGCAGACCGGAATCTTCGACCATATGTTGCAAACGTGAGATTTTCAACCACGCAAGCCCTTTCTGCTCCTGACAGTTCTTGACATTGCAGGCATGTTCGGCGAAGTGCACTCACGCCCCCACTCAACGCCCACAATGTCCCAAGCTCTGATTCCCAGTGTTTGATGGACACAAAGCACGGCAGCCACGTGTGATCACGCGCTCGTGCCCACCTGAGCCTGCAAGAGTTCCGTTTGGACATCTATGATTCTGTGTTGTACCCACCACTGCTGTGTCACCTGCAGCCCTCCCAACCAACATGCAAACGCTCTCACCCACTCGCGCTCTCCTCTTTACTGGCCAGAAAGGACAGGAAGCTTCGTTTGGCTTCCAGCTTGAGAGCAGAAACACACACTCAGACATAATTGCCAGTAATGACATAGAGCTCTGCAAACGAGTGAACCAAAATGTCTCAACACTGTCAGCTCAGTGTGTTTGGTATCAGGGACTGTGCCTCACTGGTTCGACCATGTTCCACCTGTGGCAGCCCTCGCTGGTCACTGCTTCGTGGCCGCGACAATCGTTGAGTGTTGGCTCCAATGCTGGGTCCTCGGGGAACACCACCGCGTCAGTCCACTTCCCAGAAAACTGATGTTTGGCGTGGCAAAGATTTCACTCAAGCTGGCGAATGGATGGGGTCGTGCCCTCGATCCTCCTCAAAATACGAGATCGAGGTGGAGTGAGAGTGCTAGGCCCCAGTTCTGATCAGTTTACAGTTGCAAAGTAAACTTCGGGCCTTAGCTCGTAAGGGTTGCGAGGATAGAGCTGCTTCTGAACCGCGTCGTATCCCTTCGGATGACTTCCAGGTTTCCGATCCGGCGGGACAGAATGTGCTTGACTCTGCAACCATCATGGTCAGCTTCACTTGTTATAAGCCCTAAATGTGGAGGCTGGTCAAGCAGGCCTGCACTCTCCAGCGGGGGTTCAGGAAACAAACCCGAGGAGCCCCTCCTCCAATCTGTAAGACTCAATCTACCGATTAACCAAAGATTTCGGATTCAGTCGAAGAGTTCGGTTCGATGGGGCAGTGGCCTTCTGATAAGGCCAACCCCGGGACTGCTGCCGAAATTGAACCTCATTGTCATGGAGCGCTTGTCACATCCGAAAGTCGCTGCTCAGGTTGTGCACAGTGCCGGTTGGTATCTGTTCACTGGCGGTGTGGAAGGAGTAGCTGAGTAGCTGAATAGCAAACGACAACACACGGATCGAGTGCTCTTCCAGTCTGATCAAGTCGTTGGATCCTAAGGTAAGCGTCCGCAGGCATTGCTTGGCCGACCCGCTCCAAACGGATCGTTTTGGAATATACGCACCCGCTTGGCTGCAGGAGTTCCTCCACTATAACCAATAGAACTTGAGCATCAGGGAGCTGCAATTCAAGCCAACGTGATCGCTGCAAAACGTATGAACGGGTGCATGATTGGGAATATCGAAGTCGATCTTCATTTCCGTGTCAGATGTCGGGGTTCGGCATCTCTGTCTGGCGGAATTTGGCCTCGACGATCATCGTCGATCTATCGTCGGCCAGAACATGCACGCGCAGCAGATTCTGAAATTGATGCGCCGAGATTGGAACGATGAACCGATTCCTGTTCGCGGCCAACCTGTCGAAGAGTACCACCATCGCAGTCGAAAGCGAAGGAACTCTCCGTCGAAGGTCATTACTGGAACACAGGACCACCTTCGACGCCATGCGAAGGCCTTCTAACTACAACGACGACTTTCGAAGAAGGTACAGCTGGAACCATTTTCGACACAGACCCATCCTCGTTTATACAGTCCGGATATAGATCCTGACAGCGAACACCGGTGTGACAACTCTTGCCCTGGATGAACCGAGCACCACGCACTCGCCGGTGGTTCTTTCAAGCCACAATTTTCGCAGTGATTTCGACTTCAAGCCTCGAGTCCTGAATCCGGCGCAGTCGCAGTGAACGACTCTATGGATCTCTTGCGAAGGAAGGGAAATCATGAGTTCGACGAAAAGATATCGAAGCTTTCGCCAATATGGCCCCGATATGAACAGAATCGACATGTTCAGATGCGGTCAGTCAAATGCACGAATCGTTCTCCTACTCACACGGAACACAAGTGTTCGACAAAGCAGCAAGCCACATAAATCAATATAAGCACCCGTCCGATGCCCTGTATCTGGGCCATTTGGCAGTGAATTTACAGTATATGGAGAAACGCAGCGCTTTTTCCGCACGTTCAATCATCCGCGTCTTTGGGATGTCGCACCTGCCAAAGCTTGCAGGTTTCCGTGCCCAAGTACAAATGCAACGAGCGGTTGTGCCTCGAAGGGGAGCACGTTGATGGACAAGGTCCTCTCGGAGTTTATGCATGTCTACAGGAGCTTGATAGCTCCTACACGGGGCTGACGGGGATTGAAGCTTGCATGCGAGGCACATGCCATCGGCAAGTTCTGCTTTTAACTTGACACGGACAGGCCAGGCACAAGCCTCAAACCCTCCGCAGCAAGAACAAACACTTACAGACTATCGTGTGTCGAGTATCTTACAAACTTCTTACCAGGCAGTGTGAATCCGCTTCGATTGGCTTCGTACGCTGAGGCTGCTGCTTCTTGTCCCGCCTCTCCTGGCTGGGCAAAGATCAAGACTTCGATCGTGCAAAAGCCTAGATGGCTCAATCGACGACGCTTGAGAGAGCTGGATGCCTTGAAAAGGACATTAAGCCGTTCTTGAGGATGATTCAGCGAAGGTCCCTGCCTCAATGGTAGGCTTCATACACGTGCTGCTTGCTTCCAAGCTCGCAGCGCCCGCAGTGATTCCACATGCTCTGAGCTCACAGCACCACACCTTCCCAACCCTTCTTCACAGCGATCTTGCCACGTACCTTTTGCAAGGAATTGATGCACCAGGTTTTCCGCAGCACATTCCCTCCACTCGCGCTGAGGGCACGGAGATATCGTGGGTAGCCACGACAGTCTGGCCCGTGACGAAATCGCCAGCAAGCTGACACGCGACAACGACATTGCATACAACAGGTTGTGCAACTGAGTCTGGGAAAAAAGACGAACCAATCAAGACATGCAGTGATGTCCCAAACAAAAGCAAAGCCATACATGCGATTCCGAAGAGTAGCCAGAAATCCAGCGCCGTGACGGTCAGAAGGCTAGACTAGAATAGGAAGAAAAATCCACGTCTTCCCCTCTGCCGTCCTCTGTGCTCTTTTGTCTAACCCCTTCTCGTTTCGCCCTGCCCTCTCCGCCAGCATGATGAGCATCTAATTCTACTTTCAGCTGCTTGGGACTCTGGCCCCTTCACTGTCATGCCGGCGCCGGTGCGACACCAGGCACCCTTTCGAGTGCATTCGGTTTGCGTCTGGGTGGAGCCCCTGTTATCCTGAAGCCCATATGTCACGGTGAAGTGCGACATGATTGGGCAGATGCCAAAAATCTAGCCCAAACACCAAAATCTAAAGGGTGCTGGACGGTCAACTTGGGCTTTGTACGTCTCCGGAAGGAAATACTGTAGCCGGAGTGTGGGGCCGCACTGCTTCAGCTTGTAGTATCTGCGTTGCTTCGGTGTCTCATCATTTGCACGTCTCAGGGGGGTTTAGGGCAGTGAGGCACATTGCGTTGGTGGCTTGCTTCCTTGGTTTGTGGTTCGGCCGACAGGCAGGGGCAAGTTTTCGGAGGCTGTTCCTGCAGCTTCTGGTTGGCAGCGGGCTGGCAGCGGGCTGTCGCTACACTCGGGTGCTTCGGTGCTTGAGCGATCAGCAGTAGCGTCATAGAAATGGCAGGGATCCGTGCTCACTGGGTGGCTAACGGTGAGGAGCGAGGCCGGGGAAAACGGTCAAGGCGGTCACAATAGCTTAAAAGTCTACCGGATGCTGGACGCAGTAGGTGCAAACCTCTTCCTGAGCGAGAGCTCCCGAAACAAATTAGCCGACGCTTTCACATGCTCTGCGGCTGCTCTTGGAGCCTTCTTTTCCTTAGCCTTCTGCTGCTGCTCCTGCGCGATCTCTCGTTCCTGCGTGCGGTTCAGATCAAAACCAGTTGCGGCACTCTTGGCCTTGACCTGCAAGTGCAAGTTACATGGAGAGAGTTAATGGCAACATGACATGCTTCTGCTCGGGTGGAAGTAGGTTGGGGCCACTCCAGACATTCACAGCCTCTGCTAGCGGCGACTTGCCAAACACTTCACTGCAGATGCAAAAGCTGACGCATGCAGAATCCCTGGCTCCACCTTCTTTTTTTTCTCCTTTACAAACTTGAGCCTGTTGGCCCACTCCCTGGGACAAGATCTGTCAGCACTCTTCTTATTGCAGCTGCCGTCGAATCACCGGACAATTCTGAGCTCCCATCTTGGCATCCTCACGCTTCGCCTTTTCTTCTGAAGTCTCTGTTCCGTTTCTGGGCTCGCCTGCCAGTTTTTCACATCAGGATACTTCAGGTTTACCACCCGCACGTGTGGAGCACTGTCTGCCTACCTAGCAAATTGCCAACCAAGAAGCTGTAAAGCATGTCATCTGACATGAACAGCGCCCAAATCTCGGAACAAGTGACAAACCTGGGTGGCAAAATGAGATTTGATTTGGATGCCAGACTGTCGAGACTTGCTCGCACGCTGCGCAGATCTCTGCAGCCTCGTCTGGTCAGAATAAGCAGCCTGCCTGTACGTGGCTTCTCGAATCTGCAACTCCTGCGAGGAACTCGACACATGTTTCCTGTACCTGTTAGTTTTCATGGAGAGATGTGCTCGCAGGATCCTTCACCCACTGAAAGTTGTACTGCATCCTCGGCAGTCAAAAACGAAACAACCAGTTGAGAATCATGGGCACGTGAGCATTGACCAGTATTCCTTCTTGGACATGTTTTTTTCCGCAGATTCGTGCTTCAGATTCACGGGGATTTCGCCCCGACTTTCGAGCGACATGTTAACCGCAGCAGCAGTAGCAGGAGAAGTGGGAGTGTCGGAGTGGAGTAGTAGTAGTAGTAGTAGTAGTAATAGTAGTGGTAGTCGTAGTCGTAGTCGTAGTCGTAGTAGTAGTCGTAGTAGTAGTAGTAGTAGTAGTAGTAGCAGCACTCGTACTCGTACTCGTACTAGTACTAGTACTAGTGTTGGTAGCAGTAGTAGTAGTAGTAGCAGTAGCAGTAGCAGTAGCAGTAGCAGTAGTAGTAGTAGTAGTAGCAGTAGTAGTGCTTCTAGAAGTGGCAGTGTGCAGCCGGCTAAACCGGACTTACCAACAACTCTTGCAATCACTTGGCTGTCTTGCGACTTCAAGAAGTCCAGCTCACCAGTGCCCCTAGGCGCAACCGCGTCGACGATCTGACCGCGAGTTGATGGCACCCGGCTGATGCGGCCGACGAGCCAGCTCCAGAGCCGGGCACCGCTGCCGGAGAGCAGTGGTGGCGAGCCAAAAATAGGCAAGGCTCTGGAGCGAAAACTCGCAAGGCTCGGAAAAGGCTGCTGTTTCTTGCCGCAAACGCGCATATCCTGTGCACCGCGAGGCTGGAGAGTTTCACGAGAGGGCTTTTCAGTTGGGGGAACAGCTGACAGAAGAGCAAGTCTTGGCGGACCACGCCGCGTATAAGGCGTCCAAGATGGCTGCGGCTTCGAGCGACCATGCGGAAGCCCCTGAGGACGACAGGGAGGAGGCTGAACAGGAGGTAGAAGTCGAGGTTGCCACAACTCTACCCTAGCGCCGGGAGCAACTCCTCTCGAGCCCTCCAGATCCTCTGCCGCGTCCCACTGCGCCGGATCTGCTGTGCAGCCGACCATCCCACCGGCTGCTCAAGCTGCCTTAGCAGCCTTACGAGCGGGTGGATTGGATCCCGCCCTGCCGAGCGACGCATCCACGAATGCGGCGTTGTTGGAGCCCGTGCGCGTCAGGACCAGGGAGCAGCCTACCGTGATTAGGCCGGCATCCGAAAGAGGAGAATTCCTGACCCCTCTACGCCGCCAATTGCTGCTCCAGCCACCGCGGAGCCTCCGGAGCTGGCTGCTCCGGAAAAGGTCCCCAGCCACGGAGGCGAGCGCCTCTGGGGATGGCTTCGGCTTTGATGCACACATGGGAGCTTTGGATGCACGCCGAACGTGTAATGCCGATCTTCCCTGCAGAGGCTGATGTTCCTGGAGATTCTGCGGTCCCTGGTGCTCCCAATGAGCCCACGCCTGCGTCTATAGCGGTACCGGACGTACCGCCGCCGACGGAATCGGCGACGGATGACCGCGAGCAGACAATGTGCAGACATCGCGGGGGACGGACCGACCCCTCCGTGGTACGCACTTGCCGCTGCTGCCATGTTTACACCTATGACGCGTACTTCAGCATCGTACGCCCTGCCACGGAGACTGTCGATGACGGCGTCTCCGTGGAGCTCGCTAGATCCTCCACGGCAGTCATCCGCACTGGTAGTGCAGTCATAGCTGCTTTTATCATGACGGGAGCTATTCTCCTGATTGCCGGTTTGGGTGCTTGGTTGGGCTCCAAACTTTTTCTTCGTCTGTGCAGGGCTGGGCCCCGTGCCAATGTCTCGAGAGCCTCCGTGAAAGCCGCTGCCGCCGCCTTCGACGCGCCTGCAGCTTCCTCGAGGCCGGCTGGTTCTGGGTCCGTTCAGTTGTACACGGATTTAAGTCTTCCTGTTCGGTTTCTTGAGAGCGGGCTTAGGTTGGCTAATCTTAGTGAGAGTGAGAAGAGAGAGGGTCTTAGAGTCCTCGCCCGGGTCTTGGACAAAGCAGAGACCGGACCCTTGCAGCTCGTCGGGTTGAACCTCGCGGGCCGGGCGATGGCGCACCAGCTCTGTTCCTCACGCGGCTACTCGCACGAGACGTCGGAAGATAAGAAGCACATGCTAATTCAGCGGAAGGCCCCAGCCCCGCTCTCGACGAGTGCTGAAGCTCCCGTGTTGGCCTTGACGCCGGCGGAGCGCACCGCAACTTCTGGCGGTAAAGGATGCCGCTGACGAAGTCGGTGCCGCTGGAACCGGAGATGCTTCCTGCGGTAGCATGTGCAGTGCCGGCAGCGGTGGAGACCACTTTGAGTTGGCTCTGCTGCGAAGGGAGTGTCAGGACCTCCGGAGGCAGCTCGATCCCAGCGAGAGCAGGGACTGTCAGCTCAAGTGCGAGCACAGCACGCGCTGAGGCAGAGCCGTGACAACCCGCTGCCACGTCCGGGACGCAGGTTTCTTTGCTTCCGGACTCTGCGTTTTTGCAGCCGATGCTGACAGAGGCCTCCGATGCCTTATGCGCCGAGTTCCTCATGACTGCTTTTACGTTCGACCATCCCCAAATCACCCAAGGCGCCGTGGAGGCGCATGGTCGAGGGGCGTTGGTGCGGTTGCTTGTAGACCTCCAGAAGGCCCAAGCATGCAAAGAATCCGGCCGTGTCCTGCAGACACTGGTGGATTCGGGCGTAGAAGTGCGCACCGTCCAAGGCCGCCCGTTGGCCGAGGTGTACGGTAGAGGTTTTGGGGGACTTCGCGGCGCATTGCACGCCAAGACATCTGTAATCCGATGCCGCGCATCGGGAGCCGACCTGCCGGAGAGGGTGACCTTGTTCATAGGCTCCCACAATCTCACGAGGGCTTCGCAGGCCAACCACGAGTTCGTCACGAGGGTCGATACGGTTCCCGCGGACGGTAACGTCCAAACGTACCGAGAGTGGTATCAGGCCTTGTGGGAGTCTTCGGTGGCAATCACTATCGACCACGAGGTGAAGCTGGTGGGCTCAAGTCAAAGCAGCCGGTGACCGCCCCGCCAGCAGCTCGCTGAGGAGTGACAAGGCTCCCCTTCGCGGACGTTTCGCGAGTTTTTAGGCACGGTCACCGAGCTGAGCTGCCCACGCCGAGCGCCAATCTTCGCGTGAGTAGCGTAGGAAGCTTTTAAAAAACGGGGCAGCTTTTAAAAAACGGGGCAGCTGAATAGGGCTGCGCCTGTAGGACATGTCACACCAAGGCACGCGACGTGCTGCACATGGCTGCATGACTTGTTAGCTTCCTACGCAGCTGCTTTTGCCAGTTCAAGCGGCATTCCCTTCGGATCGTCGCCGCCCTAATTGCGTTGCCACTAGCTTAAAGCCATACGCCTAAGGTAACACGAACATCGGTGCCTTTGCATCGGCGGCTGCTGTTCGTTAGCCCTTTGTACAGTTGCCGTGCCTTTCAGTACGAGCTCGAACTGTACGCCTCCGCCTCGCCGCGTGGAAAAGGAAGCACTGTGCGCTTCCGGCTTGCTGGTTGGTTTAGGGTTGTTTGGGGTAAAGCAGCTCCTCCTTAGGAGCTTAGGGACCTTCCCTTTGGGTTTACTTAGTGGCAGTGCGCCACTTTTACCGGTAGAAGTAGTAGAAGTAGTAATAGTAGTAGTAGTAGTAGTAGTAGTAGTAGTAGTAGTAGTAGCAGCAATGGTGGCAATAGGAGTAGCAGTAGGAGTATGAGTGGGAGTAGGAATAGGAGAGGAGGTCGTAGCAGTCGTCGTAGTAGTAGTAGTAGTAGTAGTAGTAGTAGTAGTCGTCGTAGCAGTAGCAGTAGCAGTAGCAGTAGCAGTAGTAGTAGTAGTAGTAGTAGTAGTAGTAGTAGTAGTAGTAGTAGTAGTAGTAGTAGTAGTTTGTTGTGTTTGTGTGTAGTAGTCGTCGTCGTAGTAGTCGTAGTAGTACTGGCAGTAGCAGTAGTATGCATTAGAAGGAGCCCCCACCCTGTAATAGTGACCATAAGGACTATATAGGATTATATTAGGGCCCTATTATATTCCGGTTATACCACTATTACAGGGTGGGGGCAGCTTCTAAAGTATGCAGTAGTAACAGTACCAGGAGTAGTGGTAGCGCAGTGTTCCGCAAAACGAGGCCTAGCTTCGACCAAGTTTGTGCGGTAAGGTAAACTTGCTCATCTTGGTCAGCTTTTGTTTCGGAGGGGCGGGGGCAAGATGGCACGCAGGCTCGGTCGTTCCAAGGGGGGGTGGGGCAAGATTTCGCGTACAGTCTTGCCAATCTTGGTCGAGTCTCGCCAGGCTGGGGGGGGTGGTAATCTTGCAGTCTTGCACGACATGCCACTCCTGCGCCCTTGCCCCAGTTCCGCCTCCCATGCACCAGACCAACATCGAGATCACAACGGATCTCAAAATACCAAGAAAACCGCGATCCGCATCACCACCCAGTGACCCACCCACCCAAGGATGCAGAATTAGTACAAGCTCACCCTATGTAATTTACAAGCTCCAAGCCGTCCGAAGTGGCAACTGCTTTCAGAAAGTACATTTGCAAGCCTCTCTGCTCATGCAAGTTCTTTACCCATCCGGAGGGTGCCGGGTTTCGCTTAGCATTTTTTCTGGGTATTCCGGTTTTCAGATATCTTAAACAAGCCCCCTCTTTTGCGATTCGGATTCATATATCATACACGCGCCCCCTCCTCTGGCGATTCCGGTTCATCCTGTATCCTAAACAGGCCGCGTCGTTTGGCGATTCCGGTTCATCATATATCTTAAACACGCCCGTCATATGGCGATTCCGGTTCTTCATATATCCACAGCACGCCCCCTCATTCGGCGATTCCAGTACATCCTATATCTGAAATACGCCCCCTCTTTTGGCGGTTCCGCTTCATCATATATCTTCAACCGTTCCCTCTTTTGCCATTCCGCTTCGTCACATATCTACAACACGCCCCCTAATTTTGCAATTCCGGTTCATCATATATCAAAACACGCCCGTCATTTGGCGATTCCGGTTCTTCATATATCTACTGCACGCC